TTTAGATATGATATATTGAAGAAATTATATTATATTTTATGAAGATTTAAAGAATAATATCCATTATTTTTTGGATGTTATATAATAATATTTGTTAATTTTTGATTGTTCTACACCTTTTAGGATTGCAGTATATGAATTTGATACAGATTTATTGTCATCATAGTAATTTTTATATGGATTGTGTAATTTATATATAAAATGATAAATAATAATAATGTATAAAGTATTATGTATTTTAAACAAAATAAATTAAAGATTTTATTTTTATTTGAAATATGACTAAAAAAACAAAGAAGGTGGGAATTACAGGTAAATATGGTACCAGATATGGTGCTTCTTTGAGAAAAATAATTAAGAAATTTGAAATTTCTTAACATTAGAGATATTTTAATACCTTTACCGGAGCTGTATGAATTAAATTAGATATTTAGCATTCATTGAAAAGATAAGCAATTGGTATTTGGAGATGCACATAAACAGGATTACAAATTGCAGGTGGAGCTTGGGAAGTAAAGTAATTAATTAATCTATCATGAGTACTCCAGCTGGATTGTCTGCTAAATAAGGTATGTTGAGAATTAAGAAATTAAAGGAAGATGCAGAAGTTGAAGTCAAAGATGAAAAGAAAGATCAAAAATAAAAGCAATAATAATAGCCAAAAGAACAAAAGGAATAACAATAAACTTAATAAAAAGGAAAATAATAATAAGGAGGAGATAAAAAGAAAGGATAAGCAAAAAAACAATGATATCGAATATATTATTTTACAGTACATAATAATTGCATTTATATTCAAATAATTTCCATAATTATTACTAACTTAAAAGACTTAATATAGATTATAATAATACAAGAATATTATAAAATGATATTTAAATATATATGAATTTATTGATTTCTGATAATGGAGGCTTGATTTAACCAATAATATAAAATTTAAATATACAATTATAATCATGAAAGCAACTAATGTTGGAATTGAAGCCATTGAGATTTATTTTCCTAAGACTTATGTTAATCAAACAGAATTAGGTACTAAAAATTCATTAGATTTCAGAATTATTCGATAATGTTTCCTAGGGCAAGTATACTGTAGGATTGGGATAAGTGAATATGGCCTTTGTAAGACCTTTTGAAGATGTAAATACTATGGCATTAACAGGTATATTCAAATCTAAAAGTTAGTTGTTACCAATCTATTAGAGAAATATTAAATTAATCCTGCATTAATAGGTAGATTGGAAGTGGGCACAGAATCATTATTAGATAAATCAAAATCAACTAAAACTACACTTATGAGATTATTTGGTGAAAACACAAATATTGAAGGAGTCACTTCTATAAATGCATGTTATGGAGGGACTAATGCATTATTTAATACTATTAATTGGATGTAGAGTGATGCTTGGGATGGTAGATTAGGACTTGTTGTTTGTACTGATATAGCAGTTTATGCAAAAGGATCTGCACGTACTACTGGGGGAGCAGGAGCTGTGGCAATGTTAATAGCTCCAAATGCAACATTTACATTAGAACCAATTAGAACTACTTATATGAAAGATAATTATGACTTTTATAAGCCAAACTTTCAAAGTGAGTATCCTACTGTAGATGGACAGTTATCTATACAAAGTTATTTATAATCTATTGATAATTGCATTCAAGCCTATTTTAAGAAAAACAATAATTTAAATGCTGATTTCTATTGTTTTCACAGTCCTTTTCATAAAATGGTTTAGAAATCATTCTTAAGAATTAAATTGAATGAATCATTTGTTTAAAAAGTTGAAACTGGATTCACATTCTAAAATTTTAATGAAAAATAATCATAAATGCTTAAATTCTATTAAAATGAATGGTTAAACAAAGCATTTCCATCATGTCTATTATCAAGAGAATTAGGAAATATTTATACAGGAGCTCTGTATGCAGGATTAATAAGTTTGATTGAAACATAAGATGACTTAATAAATAAAAGAATAATGATGTTTTCATATGGTTCAGGTTGTGCAGCTTCATTATTCTTTTTGAAATGTAACAAATCAACTGCAATATTGAAATAAAAAATGAAACTTTAAGAAAGACTATAATAAAGAATAAGAATACCTTGTATTGAATATGATCATATTATGTAATAAAGAGAAATCAATTACAATAAGCATAGCCAATAATATTAACCAAAATAGGTTGATTTATATCCAGGAACATTTTATTTGAAATAAATTGATGAAAAATATAGAAGAGAATATCTTGTACATAAATAATTAGAATTAAATTAAACTTCTAATATGATTGTTTTTGATGATTCTAAAGCTATTAACAAGATATAATAAATAAGAGATTAAATAAATAATAATAATAATGATTAAAATACATTATAATCTTAAAAATAATATAATTAATTATGGACTGGATTTTATAAGAAAACAATTTAATAAAGATTAGATTAATTAGAAAAAACAATGAATGTAAATGTTGAACCATTCAAAGATGGTGGATTATCATTATAGAATGCAAATTTAATGGTTGAAAATTGTATTGGAAAGATTTCTTATCCTCTTGGTTTAGGTTTAAATTTTTTGATTAATAATCAATGTTATTCTGTACCAATGGCAATAGAAGAACCATCTGTAATTGCAGCAGCAAGTGCAGCAGCTAAAACTATTAGTGAAGCTGGTATTGGATTTTAAACATATTCAAGTCGTCCTGTAATGATGGGTTAAATCTAATTATTAGATATTTAGAACTTTTCAAAAATTGAATGTTTAATAGATTCAAATAGATAAACAATAATAAATAGAGGAAATTAAGCATGTTAAAGTATGGTTAAAAGAGGAGGAGGAGTTGAAGATGTGAAATGTAGAAATCTAAATAAAGGATAATGTAGTGTGGACATATTTATAAATGTATGTGATAGTATGGGAGCTAATTTAGTAAATACAGTATTGGAATTTATTGCCCCTTTGATAGCTGAGATAACAGGAGCAAGAGTGGGAATTAAAATATTAACTAATTTATGTATGAATAGAAAAGTAACAGCTTAATTCAGTATAGATATAGATAAAATGAATTATAAATCATTAAATGGTAAAGAAGTTGCTAAATTAATGTTGGAAGCTTATCAATTTGCAGAACTTGATATTTATAGAGCAGTAACACATAATAAAGGAATAATAAATGGTATTGAGGCTGTATGTAATGCTACAGGTTAAGATGCAAGAGCAGTTAATGCATCTTTACATGGTTATGCATCAATGAATGGACAATACAAACCACTTTCATCCTATAAAATAGTTGATAATAAATTTATAGGTGAATTAACAGTTCCTATAAGTGTTGGAACATAAGGAGGAGTGTTACCTTAAAATCCATTATATTCATAGATATTGTCAATATTAGATTATCCTGATTCTTAGAAATTGGCTGAAATAATAGTTTCTGTAGGTTTAGCTTCTAATTTTGCAGCTTTAAGAGCTTTAGCTGTTGAAGGTATATAAAAGGGACATATGACATTACATGCAAGAAATATAGCTATAGCTAGTGGGATACCAGAACATTTGGTTGATGAAGCAGTTCTTTTTATGAAAAATAGAAATAGTTTTAATAAATAAACAGCATTAGAATTTCTTAAGGCTTATAATATATTTTATGAGATTGGTAAGGCTAAAGGAAAGTAAATGAAAGCATTTTGTACTTTTTCAGGATCTTTTGATTTGATTGATACATAAGAAAAAGTAGATTTGCATGTAGTTTTTGAATGTGATTAAAATAAGATAAATTTAAATTATGCTGATGATTCTACAATAAATAGATAAATATTTGGTTTGAAAGGTCAAGAATGGTTAAAGAATTTATTTTCAGTATTGAATACAGTAAAAATTAATAGAGAAGCTGAATTATATAAATAAAATAATTTAACATCAAAATTAAAGCTTTTAGCAATATTGATTAATTTATTGTCATTCAATATGTTAAGTCTTGATTTTGATAGATCAAAGAATTTTATATTAAATTAGAAACCATGTTTAGGAGGAGCAGTATCTTTAAAATATGGATTATCACTTATGAATGAATTAATTCATATTTTTGAATACAATATTGATTAATTTATTGGATTTCCTGAATTAAGATAAGCATTGATGGCTGAATTAAATAATATAATTTTAGCTCATATTAAATCATTTGAATTGTTATAATAGGCAAAATAAGGTTAATTTAATTGTGATGAATTCTTATCATCTAGATAAAAACGATTATGTTGTACAATGATGTTACTTTGTGATTGTATTTCATTAAAGAATTTTAATCCATCTATAATTGAAGAGATAAAATTAATTGGTAGAGTAATTGAAATATAAATGACTTTGACAAGAGATACTTAAAAATGGAATAAGTATATATTATTAATATTATTATAGATCAACAATATCTGAACCTAATATGTATACTTACTGGTTGATTGCTAATTAGAAACTAATATTAGGAGATAATAAGGATATATTGGCTTCATTTTATAATGAACACAATAGATATTTATTATCTCTGATTTAAGAATTGGAAAAGAATATAACTCCATAATTAGGTCACCTTAAAGATTAAGCCATGAATGCTATTCAACTATTTTATAAACCGAGATTGTGATAATTATATTAAATGAGTATTTTGAAACAAATATCTGATTCAAATGAATAGAACAAAGATCTTCATCCTAATGGTCCTAGATTGAGTTTTGATTAAGATCAATTACAAAAATATCAATTCTAATAAATAGACTCCAATACATCATTACATCCAAATAAAATGAAAAATACTATACATTGTGAATCTACATTAATAAAATAAGATATAAGCAAATAGGTATTCATAATAATCTTCTCTTTTTTATTCAGTTAACAAGAAAAAGAAGATCTGAATTTAAGATTGGTTTAAATCGAACAAGTTTCTTGAGAACAATTAATAGAAATTAACTTGTTTAAAAGTTCAAAAACATTCTCCTTATGCGTTCTTATGTCTTAAGTAAAGAAAATAAGTATCTTTTACTTCAAGATTGGTGGTAAAAACCAACTAAAAGTAATATACATCATAATTTAAGGAAATCAATATACTCATAGTCGCATACCATTTATAATATCTGGTAGTCATATTTCAATAATTTTAAATATATGGTCTTTATTCATTCAAATACTCACATTATGGATTACTCCTTTTATGATTTCATTTTAATAAGAAAATTCAATTTTCTAAGTCCTTTTTATTATTATTTTATTTTAAGTTTTTTTTGATGTTTTCATTAAAATCAATAGTCCATTAATAGTAAATGGAGAAACCATATATGATAAAACTGAAAGAATTAAAGATTTCTTTAAAAAAAACTTATTGGAAGATTTAATATATATCTTTACCTTAATTATTTCATTTTTTCCAATTTTTGATAATATTCAGTTACAAGGTGGCTTTTGTATAATTATCATTTTCATCTCTTACAAAAAACTTAATTAGAATTATGAAAGTTTATATGAAATTCTTTATCTTAAGGGACAATATCATTATGCTATAGATGTAATATCACTAACAATTTTGATATTTTCATATGCACATGTTATGGCATGTATTTGGCATTATGTTGGTGAAATTACTATAGATCAAGGTCAGTCTTGGTTAATTTAAAGGAATCTACAAAATAGTGAAATTTGGGAAAAGTATAATATCTCTTTTTATTGGGCAACCATGACTATGTCTACAGTAGGTTATGGAGATATAACACCTACTAATTAATTTGAAACTTTAGCAGCTAATTTGATGATGATTCTTTCAAGTTGCATGTTTGGTTATTCAATTAGTTAAATTGGAATGATACTCAAAAGTTAATATGAAGTTTAATAAAAATATAAGTAATTATACTATTCTTATATCTTAGACGTTCAATAATAATTATGAATGCTTATATGAAAAATAGTTAAGTTGATTTGTAAATATAAAGTAGAATTAGAAATTATCTCAAATATTAATGTGAAAATGAAGCAAATGAGAATAAAGATGATATTAATAAAATCATAACAGATCTACCAATTGGATTAAAATAGGAACTTGTATAAGATGTTTAGATGAATATTATTAAGAGGATTAAGATTTTAAATAATTAATTCTCACAATCAACTCTTAAATAATTATCTTAGTATTTAATAGAATTTAAATTTACTCCAGGAGATGTAATATATCATAGAAATGATTTAAATGATCAAAGTCTTTANAAATTAACTTGTTTAAAAGTTCAAAAACATTCTCCTTATGCGTTCTTATGTCTTAAGTAAAGAAAATAAGTATCTTTTACTTCAAGATTGGTGGTAAAAACCAACTAAAAGTAATATACATCATAATTTAAGGAAATCAATATACTCATAGTCGCATACCATTTATAATATCTGGTAGTCATATTTCAATAATTTTAAATATATGGTCTTTATTCATTCAAATACTCACATTATGGATTACTCCTTTTATGATTTCATTTTAATAAGAAAATTCAATTTTCTAAGTCCTTTTTATTATTATTTTATTTTAAGTTTTTTTTGATGTTTTCATTAAAATCAATAGTCCATTAATAGTAAATGGAGAAACCATATATGATAAAACTGAAAGAATTAAAGATTTCTTTAAAAAAAACTTATTGGAAGATTTAATATATATCTTTACCTTAATTATTTCATTTTTTCCAATTTTTGATAATATTCAGTTACAAGGTGGCTTTTGTATAATTATCATTTTCATCTCTTACAAAAAACTTAATTAGAATTATGAAAGTTTATATGAAATTCTTTATCTTAAGGGACAATATCATTATGCTATAGATGTAATATCACTAACAATTTTGATATTTTCATATGCACATGTTATGGCATGTATTTGGCATTATGTTGGTGAAATTACTATAGATCAAGGTCAGTCTTGGTTAATTTAAAGGAATCTACAAAATAGTGAAATTTGGGAAAAGTATAATATCTCTTTTTATTGGGCAACCATGACTATGTCTACAGTAGGTTATGGAGATATAACACCTACTAATTAATTTGAAACTTTAGCAGCTAATTTGATGATGATTCTTTCAAGTTGCATGTTTGGTTATTCAATTAGTTAAATTGGAATGATACTCAAAAGTTAATATGAAGTTTAATAAAAATATAAGTAATTATACTATTCTTATATCTTAGACGTTCAATAATAATTATGAATGCTTATATGAAAAATAGTTAAGTTGATTTGTAAATATAAAGTAGAATTAGAAATTATCTCAAATATTAATGTGAAAATGAAGCAAATGAGAATAAAGATGATATTAATAAAATCATAACAGATCTACCAATTGGATTAAAATAGGAACTTGTATAAGATGTTTAGATGAATATTATTAAGAGGATTAAGATTTTAAATAATTAATTCTCACAATCAACTCTTAAATAATTATCTTAGTATTTAATAGAATTTAAATTTACTCCAGGAGATGTAATATATCATAGAAATGATTTAAATGATCAAAGTCTTTATTATATACAAGAAGGAATTGTTAATATTTATGAAGAAAATAGTCAAAAACTTTTATAATCCTTAAAAGCTGGTGATACATTTGGTGAATATTAATTCTTTACTGGATTTTAATCATAAACATCTACTAAAAGTTAAGGGTTTACAAAAATATTTAAAATAAATCGCTAATCTTTATTATAGTTATTAAATTAAAATTCTAAAGATTTTCAAAGATTTCATCATATTAAAGATAATATTATTTTTAATAAGAATTTTTAAATTGTATAAAAATGTTGTAATTTTTGTAAAATTGCTGATCACATTAATATTGATTGTCCACTTTTATCTTACAAACCAGATATTTTATAGAGAATTAAAAAAGCTGAATTAAAGCCATCTATATAATAAAGATATTTTTTATAAAGAAATAATTAAAAAGTGCGATGTTTAATGTTACATTCAGCAATATAAGATACTGTTGAAGAATATAAAGCAAATCTTTCTACTACTTAAATCGATGTTGATATGAAATTATTTTCAACATATGCTACAAAAGATTTGAGTAGTAATTGTTAAAAAGAATCACTATTAGATAGACAATAAACTAAACCTCTTCCAGTTGCTCCTTTAAAAAAAAATAACTCTTTTTTGATAAGATAAAGAAATTAATCTTAATAGAAAAAAGTTGGAATTTTTGTTAATTTAAAATCAGTCTTTAGAGATTCTGATCGATAATTAAAATCTGAGTCTGAAGATGATCAATAAAATAATTCACCTAAAAATTAAGTTTCATAATAATTTCAAATTGATTTTAATGATTTATAAATGAATTAGTTTGATGATTAATTTCAAACTACAAATTTCAATATTGATAGATTAATGAATTATTTTGGTTACATGCCTATGTCTAATGTAATTTATGCTTTGAGAAAATATGAAAGACTCTATAAGTATTCAAAAGTGAAGACAATTAATTATCCTGAATCAGAATCTAGGAAATTTAGTATTCCCTTATATTATAGTAGAAGAGATTCAATAAATGAATTATTAAAAGAAAAGTATTGAGTAAATAATGAATTAAATTTATTATTAAAAATGTTTAATAAAAAATTTAAAAAATATGTCTCTATTTCATTTCATAATCAAGAAACCAAAGAATAAAAGAGTAATACCTATGTATCTAATGTGAACTAATCAAAGAATCCAAAAATAGCATAAATTATGAGGATATAAAATCAATGAAAAATAAAAATTAATAAAATGTAATTATAATAGATGAAACAGATAATAATTTAAATAGAAATATGGATAATAGAAGAATGTATATGATAGGAATAGCCAAATAATAGAAACTTTTTTATGAACATAATTCACATGATGAAGAATTCAATTGATTTGAGTGAAATATCATTAAATCTAATACAGTTTCATTTAATTATGCAAATTATAGTTATAAAACATTCAATTTTTAATGGTTCATAATAAATTCATTATTGTAGTTTTATGGACAACTTTTCATAAATAAATTTGGATTCAATTATTGGAAATTTATAAACACTTATATCTTAAGAGATTTTTAAAAGAGATAATTAAGTTGAAAAATCTATATCTGCTATTAATTCAAGTGAAATGATAATTAAAATTTAATTAGAATAAAATTAAGAATTATAAAAATTATTAATGATTTTGAATAAGTAAATGAATATTTTCAATGTTTTAATGATATGATAAAATAAAAAGTAAAATATAATATAATTTATTCTAGTTACCAATTCTATTTAAACTATTCAAACCAAATTTATTCAACAATTTTTTAGATAATTTTTACACTTAATTTATATATTCAATTTCTATAAAACACACATATTGATATTTAAAAGAGTCAAATACAGAAGAAGCACAACATTAAATCTTACTTGATTCAATTTTAAAATCAATATATAAAAAGCCATGTATTTATAGACCATAGATAGTTGAATACTTAAGTATGATGAAAGATATTCTACTTAAAGATACAATTGAAAATCTAATTAAAAATTATTAATAATTATAGTATCAAGTATTTTAAACTAATTAATTTATTTTTAAGGTATTTTAATTATTATTGTGTTCTATTATGATTTCAATTTACTTGTCATACTATTCAAAAATAGATATTATATAAATAATTAAAATATCTTTAGAGAAATGATAATATATTTATTAGACTCATTTATTAATTATTTTACATTAGATAAGCTAAGCTCTTATAATCTTATATCTATCTATTGTGTTATTTGAAAAGTATCTTTTATAAAAACATCGAACTTCTAAAATTATTTGCAACATTTGATCAAAGAAACTTATTTCAAATAAGACTATGAATAGTACAAGAGTAAAAGTAAAAGAACATGATCTAAATATAAAATGTAAGAAATACAAATAAATTATTTCCAACTAAGCACTCTCATCAATATATTAACTATATCTTTACCCAAGAATTTTCCAAGCTTAATTATATCCTACTCTTTAAAATTTGTTTACCTAATTTATTGATATTATATTTACTTAATCAAATTCGAAGATCTTTTCAATTGTGGTGTTTTCGTAAAGTCCCTCTTCTGGGTTTAATAACTGCTAAGCCATTTAGGAAAGCAAAAAGTTATAGGATTTTAATCCATATTTCAATGCTCCATTTAAATATGTATCACAGTATTAGAAATTTACAACTAAAATATAGCTCATAATATACTTGAATTAATAGTAGCAATACATAAATTTCCATTAAATATTTCATCAATTTCATCAATATTGGTATTATATAAGTCAGATTATAATTCGGCATTATTATTTATATATCTTGATTGAATTTATTTATAGTTTTAGATATCTATATATGTTTGATTGAAGAAATCATAAATAAAAAGTTCTTTAGATATAGTCAATGATAACAATTATGTAGTTTCCTTAGTAAAGTAATTTGAATTTAATAGATTTAACATTAAATTGTTAAATCTCATTATGTGAATAAAGTAGAAATAACTTAGAAATGAAATTAGTGACATAAAAAATAGATATTTTATAATCATAAGAACCTTAATTAATTTTAATAAATACTTTTATTCTTTTCCATCTCTTTGACAATTCATATTACTTTTATTTTTATCTTTTCAAATTACTACTCTTTTCTTCTTCATCCATTTGTTTAATGATAGTTTAATTGGTTGATTAAAAATAATCTAAAATATATTGATTTATTTACTATTTTAAATTAAACCACTTTGACTACTTATACAAGAAAATTGAAATTTTAAATTTAAATAAAATTTAATTGATTCTTCAACTTATGTTTTTTCAATATAAGATAATTGTTTAGCCACTTTCTAAAGATATTGAATATAATACTTAGCATTGTATTATAAGTTTAAGGATATTAAAAATATTGTAGATTAAATAAAATCCAAATATTGCAGTTGATGTCATAATAATTGTAAAACATATATTATCTTATGTTTAGTAAGTTTAAATTAGTTTATCAATAATTTAAAATATATTTCTACTTTAATAATTAAAGAGGAAAGGTATAAATATTGTTCTAAAGAAATCAAGTTATTAATCAAAATCATAATTTTAATCTATCAATTAAAGATTACCAATATTAGATGTATATAAATTAATTAAATCTATTGTACTTTAGTTATTATCATAATTTTTTGATTTATAGACTTTTTATACAAAATTTGATTATTAATATAGACTTTTAATTTCAGATAATTGATTATTAAAACTATTTTATAAGTCTTAATAGAAATCAGATTAATTTGTAATTTAACTTAAGATATTATTTTAACAATAAAATGCATTGAGTAATTTGTCATATGATTCAATCATTATATTAAGAAAATCATATTACTTCATTGCACTTTATAACTTTAATAATATAATATTATACCCCTAATTCATCTAATTCAAATTAATTAACATTAGGACCCTAATACAAAACAATAAGGTTAAATATAATTAAAAAGAAAATGAAAATTCTATTAAGAATTTTAAAAAAGTTTAATTAAGCATCTTATTTAGCAGGTTTATTGTTTTCCTCTTTAATAAAAATATTATTTTGTGTTTTAAGACTCAATGATGTTATTTTTTAAGTATTAAAATCAGATATAACTTAGTCTTCAGACATAAATGCTCTATTTGTAGTATTACGATATGATTCTACTTCCGAATTTTAAACTAAAATATTATATAATTTAACCATTTGAATGTAACAATTTTTAATAATTTTATTCAATTTACTATTAGAAGTTTTATTCTAAGAAAAATTAAAGATGTTATGATTAATGATTCTAAAAGACACTCTATCTTTATCTAACTACTTAATTTTATCTATTGAGCAATTTAACAACCTAAGTTATTATATATAATTGATTTACTTTAGCTTTTTTATCTAAAGCTTAACTTTCTATTATATTTAGATTAGTAATTTTAATAATTTAATATTTATCCATAATTGTATTTTTAGTAAATCTTATTGAAGCTTCAATCTTGATAACAGTCTTTAACATTCTACTAGTCATACAATATTTTTAAAAACTGTTTTCTAATTATTAATAAATATTTTACTAAAATGATTATATAATGTTTCATAATAGTATTCTTAATATTAAAATAGTTTAGAAAAGAGCATTCTTTTGTCAAATATAAGTTTACCAGCAGAATTTCTCTTTACAATTTTTTAATCTTTAAGTTTATTTGATTTAATTGTCATTTAATCTAAACCATTTAAAAATATTTCTTATTTAATTTCAGCATAATCATCTATTAAATGTTTAATCTTTTTTGGTAAACGAAATGTTAATTTAACATGATCTTCATCAACTACTTTATGAAATCTTCTAAATAATTAATCTTTCTCTTCTTATTATTCTTCATGTAAAGCATCATTTATCCAAAGAGGACTTTCCTCTACATTTTTTGTATCATCTTCTAATACCATACTTACAAGATCTTATGTCTACTATTATTATACATATTAATTTTTATAATTGGTTGGAACTATAGTTATTTTTCTATTTGTGAATTTAGCATCTATAATTGAGTCTTGATTTGTATCTTCATTTTTAGTTCTTTTTAATTTAAATAATTAAAGATCTTCTTCTGTTAAAAATTATGAATAATATGAATATTTCAATAATTTTGGACATAATAAAAATAAACATAAACCAGGTTAAAGGAATTCAGAAATTTATTCAGATACACAATCTATTTCCCAATCATTATTGACCAAAATGTAATTTACACTTTAATGTCTATAAATTGGTCTAATCATACATATATATTCAATTTAAGATAAAGGACTTATATGCCATTTCAAATACTTTTTACATGGCATAAGATACTTTTCATTATTTAAAGCTAAAATCTTTCTCTTTTTATAAAATGATCTACTTTTACCAGTTTAAACAAATTATTCAATACCATATTAATGATTTCTAATGATTGTTTATGGTAATAATTAATTTATATTATTATATTATTAAAATCCAAAAATATCATATGCTGATTCACTAACATTAACTATTTATCCAGATTGAGTAGTATGAAATATTGCTGATGTATAATTAAAAGGTTTTAAATAAGAAAATTAATCAATTTAATTTTAATTATCTGAACCTGAATCTTCATCAACAGGTTATTACATCATATTTTAAGAATCACAATATTCTAACATTGATTATTTAATTTTTTTATTTAGAACATATAAATAATACCAATTATAAATAAATTACCATTTAGGTCTTCTAATTAGAAAATTCTTAATAATTAATTTATCTCTATTAATTATTTTGTATTTATTAATTTAATTCCACAATTCATCAGATTTTTATATTGTTAGAATAATTTATTGATTTAAATTCCATAAATCTTATTCATAAATTACTTTTTATTTAACTTGTCTCCAAAATTTTATACTAAAATCAAGAAAATTTCTAATATTAAATTCTATAGACTTAATTATTTATTCAATCTTAATTACATATTCAAAATCTAATTCATTTTAATAACTTAAACTATTATTATCAATAATTTCATTTTAAAATTACATTTCTATTTTACTTAAATCAAATTATTATAATAGATTTAATTTATATGTACGTGTTAATTTGATTTAAATTAGAGATTAAACTTGATTATTCATTTAATAATAAAGAAATACTGCATAATTCATTCTTATATTTACATCTTGAGGATGATTAAATAGATATATTTCATACCATGTTTTAATTAAATATTTCAAATATAATGTTTTTTATCTCAACATAGAAAATTAAGAATTTTTTATATCTTTAAGTTTCTTAGGATCATATAGACTTCTCATCATACAAAAACATCTTTCTTTTTTTTCTTAAGGACATTAATTTGTAAAATGTTGAAATATAATACCCAAATAAAATGAATCAGCTTATCCAAATTCATGATTTATATGTATCTATTTTGCAATTGATTTAAGATTAAATATTTTTTAAATTAAATCATCACCAATCAAAGCTGGTTAACAAATATGTTATATTTACTGGTTAAAATAAAATTAATAGAAAATCCATATTATTAATATTACACTCACTATACTAATTGAAAATGAATTATCATTTTAAGTAATGTTAAAATGTATAGAAATTGAATTTATAGTTAATCCTATAGATATGCCAAATAAAGAGAATATAAATATTTTAAATACTTATCTTACATTTCGATTTGAGATAAATAATTTAAAATCATTTATCTTAAATAGAAAACAAGCTATACAAGTTGATAAAACAAGATAAATCAAAAATATAACCTATTTTTATTATCAAATATTTACATGAAATTCTTAACTCATATCTGGAAATGCTATTTATATATTAAGTAAGATTCTAAAGACTTCCAAATATAATAAAATAAATCTAGATCCACTAGATAATGCATCTTTCTTTATGCAATGATGATTTATAAAAAATAGTATCATTATATTTTAAGAAATAAATCTGATAAATAGAAAGCAACTTGCTAGGACTTATTGAATTTGAGTATTTATTGCTATATTCAAACAATTTAAATTAGTTGAACAATAGACTATATTTAAATAAACAAGTTAAGTGGGTTAACAAGTTATCCATTAATCAATCAATAAAAGTTAGGTTAACATCTAAATTATGAATAATTAAAACTTTAGCACTTGACTAATCCATTAAATTTTTCTTATTTTGATATTTCACTTAATAGTAACATATTCCATAAAGTGTATATGTCACTATGTTCTATGTTGATAACCACCAATATAATATTTATATTATTATTTCATTTTCTTAAATCACACTATTGATATCTAAGTATTTGATTAGACTGATGATCTGAGAAGATTATGAAAATTATAAATTAGGGTAATGATAAGTAATGATTAAATAATATCTAGTATTCTAAAGATTAATCATACTTTGAAAAAATTCCACTGATTAATTGACAGAAAGTAATTGTAATCAATACTATTGAATAAGAATAAGAAGGACGCTTAAGTTTCCCAATATTAAAATTTACCAATAAGTGTTCCATCATTATAATTTAAATTAATGTATTATAAGAAATGGATTATTAAATGAATCAATTAATTTATAGTAAAATAAACATAATTACCAAGCCCTTAATAATTAAATAACAAATAAACCCTATATGTCTGATTTCTAACATTTTGACATATATAAGCAACTTAAATTTAATTTATTAGAATAAACTTTAATCATTAAATATCTTTACTTACCCATCTTATAATACATTATATAATTGTATTATAATTTAAGAATTGTATAAATATGTTTTTTCTATAATATTATCATTTATGAATTTTATAATCTAAGGAAATTATAATATAACCATCTAAAAAGAAATTTAAATATAGAATTAACATTGATCATAGATATTAATTATTAGGTTGAATGATTAATATTGAATTTAATTAATGAATATCAAAAATTCAATAATTATATCTTAAATACATAATAATAATCATATATGATAATAATTATTTCAGAAATGAAGATGTTGACCACTAAAGATTAAAAATAAATTCATATTATGAAATAATCTTCATAATCTTTTTTTTCATTATAATAAATACTAATTTATACTAATTTATCTAAATAAAGGTAATAAAAATTAAAGAGATATTTTTATCATATTTTTTCTCATTTTATAGAAATAATACTTATTAAGACTAATTATAAATTAAAGTGTTAATGAATTAATTATTTATGTATTGATTGTGTTCAACTTTATAAATAATAATAATGAAAACAATCTCCTTTAATTTTCTTATTAAATAATATATTAAGTTTAGTATCAATTGTTTTTAGAACTATAAACGAATAATGATTTTTTGAATTGATTTTTATTTTTCTAATTGATAAATATAAGACAAATATTTTTTAGTTTAATTTGAAGATATATTTTATATATTTCTAATTTTTGGAGAGATCTGAATGTTCTTATTTATTATATTATGAAATGAGAAGTTAATGAAATTTTATGTTATTAATTGAGTTTTGGATACCATTCTTTGTTTTCATTTGATTAATAAATGAGTGAAACAAAATCAAAGGAAAGTTAACAAAAATAGAATTTAATAATTATAGGAGGATAATATGCTTTGAAAAGTTGTATCTATCGTGGAGGAACTCATAATTTATATTTGGGTAAGCATATTTGATATATGTTGACAGCGATAAACAAATAGAATCCAGGAAATTACTTTGTCGTGCGATTAGTAATGTATATAAGAGTTTAAATTTATTGTTAGTTCATTAAGCTGATAGGCTAACACAAACATAGATAGTATCTAAGAGGAAGAGAAACTATTAAAGAAAATGAATGTTGGTATAAAATGTAAGTTATGAATTTAAGTGACATTCATGCCTACTATATTGGCTTCAGGAGATGTACGACTTCAGAATATAAACTACTATTATTAAGTATTTGACAAGTATGGACCAAGTTTGAAATTATGCTTCTAATTTGCAAATAAGAACTTTACTTTAGGCACAATATGTATGATAGGAATATAAATGGTATATAATATATATATATTGATAGTTAAATATATTGGAGAAAATGCATGGATAATTCATTGTTCATCGTAATTTAAGACCTAAGAAAATATTAACAGTACCAAATAAAAATGAATTTGTCTTAATCGACTTTTAACATAGTGTTAAATTTAAACATAAAAATGGAAAATATATAGGTTTAGGATCAAAGTTCTCTAGTTAAACTAAATTAACTAAATTTTCTAGTTTAAATCAACATTTAGGATTGAGTATATGAAGTATTGATTATGATTTAAGCTGCCTCACCAAAAGATGACTTGGAATCTTTAGGGTTTATACTAATGTACTTTTTAAAGAATGGAGATATGTTTAAAGTCAAAGAAACTGTATCTAAAAGTAAACAAATGGAAGAATAAAAGTTGCGAATGATACCAGAAAAATTCTGTAAAGATATGCCTATTGAATTCCTTTAATACTTTTAATTTGTTAGATTGACAAATGTGTAATAATATCCATTAAGTGACTATGAATTCTTAAAAAAGTTTTTTAGAAGCATACTCCAACAACTTAATATAAATGAGAAAGAATTCTAATATGATTGGGTATCTAATATTTAATAATTGTTAGTTAAAGAAAATGAATTTATAATCCTAATAACCTAAGGAGGATGGATAAACAAAGATTGTAGTTCATGAACCTTAAACTTTAGAAAGAATCTAAGAAGTTTAAACAGAATTGGAAAAGTCTTCATTTAAAAGAGATTGTTATCGTAAATCATCATCATTATATATAAATGATGAAGATGATAAGTAATTTGAGAGTGTAAGTAACAAAATGTTACATCTTCCAAATATGTATGATTTGATTAAACTAAAAAATTGATAAAACTTTGTGTTTTCATATAATATACTTTATATTATTAACTTTTCAGAATTCAGCACTACCATGATATCTTGGGAAAGGAATTACATCTCTTATGTTTTCAACACCTGTGACCATCATAACTAATCTTTCAAATCCTAATCCAAAACCACAATGAGGTACTGTACCATATCTAAAATATTTAATAAATCTATTACTTTCTTAAATCCATATAAGGTCCATAATCTTCTATTTTCAAACCACATTCCTTGATTCTTTGAGCCAATACATCATATCTCTCTTCTCTCTAAGATCCACCAATTAATTCACCTACTTAAGGAATAAGCATATCCATAGCTCTAACACATTTACCATCTAAAAATATTCTATTACATTTATATACCATCAGTAACTTTCATATAAAATGCTTTAATTTCTTTTGGATAATCATAAAGGAAAACTGGTCTCTAAAATACTTTTTCTGCTATGAATCTCTCATGTTCACTATTCAAATCCATACCCCATTTAATATCACTATTCTCAAATTTTGCTCCTGCTTTTTATGCTTTCAATAAAATATCTATTCCTTATGTATAAGAACATCTAATAAAATCTTTACTCACAATATCTTTTAAATAATCTATTAATCCAGGTTTAACTCTATTATCCAAAAATTTAAGATCATCCATATTATTTTACAAAATGTAATTGATACAAAACTTTACATAACCTTCTGCTGCTTCCATATTGTCAAATAAATCAGCAAATGCAAATTCTGGCTCAATCATCCAAAATTCTGCTAAATGTCTATGAGTATGAGCTTTCTCTGCTCTGAAAGTAGGACCAAATGTATATACATTAGACATACTTATACAAAAATGCTATAATAAATTAAGTCTTCATTTTACTTCCACTTATAATTAACCAGATACTGTAAGATTAACTTCTTTTTTAAAGAAATCCTAAGCTGTATCAACTTTTCCATTTATTTAAGGTATTTTTTTAATATCATTATCAAATATAGTAGAAATTCTAAACATTTCTCCAGCACCTTCACAATCACTTCCAGTAATAATTGGTGTATGAATATATAAACATCCATTATTTTAGAAAAATACATGAGTTGCATAAGCCAAATTGTTTCTAATTCTTGTGACAGCACTAAAGAAATTACCTCTTGGTCTTAAATGTGCTTTTTATCTAAGAGTTTCTGGTTTTTAAACACTCTTTGCCATTGGATATTCCTAAGGATCAGCTTATCCAACAATGACAACTTCATGTTTTGTAGGATCAGCAACAAGCATTTCAATTAATTATCCTTTTGCAGGACTTTTTACAATATTTCCTGTCACTTTAAGTGAAAAACCTGTATTAGCTTTAATAATTTGATCGAAATTTGAAAGCTTGTCTTCAACGACTATCTATAGACCACCAAAACTTGTTCCATCATTCAATTCAATGAAACAAAGATTCTTCTAATCTCTTACTGTTCTAGCCCAACCTGCTACTGTTACTGTTTAACCTATATATCTGAAAATAATTAAGAATCATTCTTACCCTTCACCAACATTTAACAACTCTTATATTCTATATATTGTTCCTACATTATATTTTGGTAAATGTTTCTTGTACAATTATTATGGTAAATCCCAAGAACGTGGAAGTTTATTTAATCTCTTTGTCACATCAAATTAAGGTATATCTACCTAATATTAATGATAAGAATGAAAATACTTTGAAACCAGCAGGCAATGGTGGTACATTGATTGGTTTCTCTATTTCTCCAATCAATTTCTCTGTTTTCTTGGCTTATTTCTGAGTTGCTGCTGCTGTCTATTTAGCAAAATCTGTAATTGTTTTGATTCTTGTGAACAATTCATCTGATTCTAAGAATTAGTATTACATCTAATATGATATTTCTAATTTAAATCATTTTTTCATCAGATTCAATTATTTATACACAAAATTCAATATTAAATATTTAGAAGTTATTTATATATAATACTTATTATATTATTTTATTTTATCATCTCATCTCATCCACATTAACTAATCATTCCATTTAATATAAATATTATTTATAAAAAATGTATCCAGAAAAAGATGAATATGATATCCCAAATGAATAATAAATTTATTCATCATTCTAATCTGAGAGTGATTAATTAAAGCTTCAATATCTAGCTTCTTGCTAATAGAAATATGAAAATAAGCATATAGTTTTTGTATTAAAATAAATTATAATTATAGCTATCAAAGTATTTTCTGGAAATAGATTTAAGAAAAATAAGCATTCAAACTATAAATATTTAAGCAACTTGTCTAAGCAAATTTACTCAAGAATAAAAAACTTATAATCAAAATATAATTACAAAAATTCTTAATCATATTAAAAAAGTAATTATTACTTAATAATATCCCTAGCAATTATAATAATAACACTTTATAAATGAATTACATAATGCCTTTTTGGAATCTTGCATTATGTCATATAATTATAAGATTGGTTATTAATTTATTAAGTCTAAAACATTTTTATAAGGAAGTTTAGAAAAGAAAAGTTAGAATATAATAGAGTATTTTTATTTATCTGGATTAATTGCAAATGCTTAAAAAGTATGAAAAATTAAATGATAATAGGATTTTGATGAAGCTTTTAGATGTTACAAAATTGCTCATAAATTTCATCCAATAGATGTTTTTACTATTGAAGCTTAAAAGATGGAAAGTTTACTTTGTTTCAGATTGGGTTTGGAATTGAGAAATTGGTCTCATCCAACAAATCAATTATTAGTTACCAAATTATAAAGTATTGTTCAAGAAAAATAATATAATGTAATAAAGGATAGTGATCTTGATTTCTAAGATAAAGATATTAATGTAATTGTAGAATCTTGATATTTTAGATTTGCTTAAAAGAATGGTCATTACAAGCATAATTATATTAATTTTTAAAAAATGAGTAAGAATTACATTCAAAGGTTACATTTAATTTAATAAATAATCATTTTTAAATTTAAGACTATGAGACTTTAATTCATCTATTATTACAAATAAATAAGATTCATAATATGTTTTTGATTAATGAAGAGAAAAATTATATTGAATTCAAATATAACAATTTAAATTATAAAGATATTAATAGTAAATTGGAAAATAGATTTGATTTACTATAATCGTTAAACAATACAAAATGAATATTATATAAATATTATCAGAATGTTTATAAATAATTTATTATAATATATAATCATGCATTTTAAGAGAGAGTAGTATGAATATTTGGACTTTGAGCCTTTAATTATTATTAATTTAATCTTGATTCCAAATTATAAGTTTCTGGTTATAATCTTGCTCTTTTAATTTTTTCACTTTAAAATATATGCTAAAAAGGACGAATTGGAGATGTCTAAATAATATTTTGCTTTAAGAATTATTAATACTTAGGATTTAAATATGGTTATTTATTCTAATCTTAAATTAATAATCTAAAAAATACTTAAATACGAAACAGTATTATAAATTGTAAGCGATGTTAAATCATTATGATAATCATGATCTTTGTCTAATTTTTTTGTTTTATCTATTTTAGGAAAACTACTTTTTGGAGACTATTCAGATTTATAATAGACAAATAAATCGCAAAATTGTTCATATTCAATATCTTTAGATTTCATTTAATAATACAAATAAGTAAGCAAAGTTTCTAATTTTACATGTAATGGCAATTATTATCTTTACAATATAGTATATGAATCTGCAGATTCTTGAATAGGAGCAGGACTGATTCTTTCAGCAATTCTTCCAAGTGCCTCAACAAATTCAATAAAAGTCATTCTTATATTTCTATCTAAAGCAAGTTCATCTATTTAGGTCATCATTGAAAAATTGTAAATAATAACTTAAAGTTTTTCAGATAAATATTCATGAAGATTAAATTGTTTACAAAATTCTTTAAATTCTCTAATAGATATCCATTTTAATTTAAAATACCATTTTCTATTAGTAATATCAGTAACTTAATCATAAAGTTTTTTAATAAAAGGCATTTTAATTTATAATAAATGATCACATTCTTTAGTCCATAATCTACAAGATCTCCATTCTTAAATTAAATCAAAATGTTCATATTATTCTTTAAATTCTTTAAGTAATCTAAATAATGCATCTGCATAACTTTTATGGATATCTGTTCTAACATATTTATCATTAGCAATACGAAAGAACATTTCTAAGAATTGATATCTTATTATAGCCTTTTCTGGATTATAAATATATTTAGGATCAACATTATTTTTTAAAGAAACAATATCAATTTCAACATCTTATGATTTTATTAGATCTCCATCTATTATAGCAAGTTTGTTTAATAATTTTAAATATTAAGGGAATTGAATACAAAAAACATCAAAATTAGGTGGTTAATATCCAACACTCGAATAATATTTATAAACATCTTTGATAAGTTAATAATGTTATCTGAAATATTCTTTTAATTTTAATTTCTCATATTCACTTTTAACAAAACGACTTATTTTACTACTATTCCAATCAAATTCAAAACATTCAGTTAATAATTCTTCTGTATCACCTATAAATGGTCTAAATATAGAATCTTCTTTATGCCATTTTATAAGATGAGCTTATTTTCTAACTAAAAAGTTTGCAAATCTTCTCAATACATATTTCTTTTAAGAAGATCTAGGAAACACCTTTATTAATGGTTTATAATTATCTTTATCATCTATAATATATTCTTGTCTTGAAAATATATAATTAACTTAATGTATTTTAGTAAATGCTAATTTAGTACCATCTGAAAAGATATGAACAGCATGTTTAGGATCTTTACCTTATAAAATAGCATTATCAAGTGGTGCAGGCATATTCATTACTCTAGGATCAATAAAATATTCTTCTTTAATAGGATTGGAAAAGAAATATAAAATCTTTCTTTTTGGTGGACACATTTAATATGTAGTATAGTAAAATTTACTTAATTCTTGAATCATTTATTTAGTAATTTCTTCACTTTTCTTATTTGTTTCTTCTGCATAAGCTTCAGTAATGGCTGCCAATGTTATTCTCTTTTCTGTATTTACTAATTATTTTAATTAATGAATTATCTCTCCAGTTGTCAAATCAAAATAATTACTCTTTCTTTGTTAAGCTTCAATCAACTATTATCTTAACTCATAACTACTTGTCATAGGGATTGGTTAATAACTAATAGTTGTGACAGAAATTACTCTAAGAAATCTAGATGAATGAAAATTGGATCTTAATTATTATCATTCTCAGGATTGTATTAAAATCTATATTCCATCCATCCTTGACAAATCCAACAACAATCATTTCCAAATAGATTATCTCCTTACAATGGAATATAATTTACACCATCTATGGCAGTTTTCTTTTATTAAACTACTTTAAATTCTTCACTATCATTAGTGAATTATATAAATCCATATGGATTTACTCTTGCTGAACATTTATTTCCTTCTATATGTAAACCATATAATGTATTATTCTTTTATAATGCTACACTAAATAATTTTAGTTATTTTTCACTTAATTAATTATAAGAGATATCTAAATGAGCTAATGTAATTTAAGGATGAGAAATTGTTTCACATAAAGATTATATGAAATTACTTCTTTCATTTTATCCTAAATGATTATAACTCAAATCAAGAACTTTAATTGATCTATTTTATTATAACCCTTTTGCTATCATAGTTCCTGCTGTAGGTCCTAATTAATTCCAATTTAAAACCAAAATTTCTAAATAATTGTTTTATAATAAAAATTAATAGAATGTTGTAGAACATGAATCTGTTATTTAATTTTCTGATAAATTTAATTTTAATAATGTTATGTTTTTTTAAAAACAATTCAAAAGTACAGATACACCTTTATCTGCTAATAAATTGTTTTATAAACTTAATGATTTCAAATTTGTAAATTTTTATATTTAATTTGATAATATTATAGCACCTCTTCTTCCAAGAACATTATTACCTAAATTAATTTCTTTTAATGAAAGTGGAAATCCTTCTATTAAATAAAGTAATGATTTATCATCCAATTAATTATTACATAAAAATAATTGTTTAACACTCTTACTTTTAACAGATTATAATAAATTTTTAATCAATGGAAAATACTTTTCAGTTAGACCAAGATCAGAAAAATGCATTTCCTTATCATTTACTAAAGAATTAGATAAATCTATTCTCTTTGGAAATATATTATCATTTAAACAATAAAAATGAATTGGATCCACATTCTTTTTATTAAAATTAATTGCTAGATCTTTTAATCTATCTTATCGTTTTATAAAATAAAAATAAGATTAATCTATTTCATGATCTAAATTATATATATATCGATATTACTTAACTTTTATTAGATTTTTTTAATCTCTTATTACATCTCAACTCCATTGAATCTTTTAGGTTCATCTTCACTACTTATATTACTTATTATATCTTCATCATCTTCATACTCTATACTATTTTCTCTTTTTATCCATTATTATTCTGTCTCAATTATTTCTTTTTATATATCTTCATTTAATTCTTAGGTTTCTTTTTTGGCTTATTCAATAGGAGAAAATCTATGCTTTAATAATCCCAAAGGGAAATTCTTCTTTTTATTTGCTCCTTAATCAGATTAAACTGAAGTATTTGTCAGAATTTATCTCATTTCTGTTAATTTATCACCACTTTTTATATAATAAGCCATAAGACTATGATCATTTGAATATTAATTATCAATCAATAGTTTTTAATCTTTGAATTTACTTTCAGCAATTTTATTATCTGAAATGCTACGATTGGATCTAAAGAACGATTTTAATTTCTAAGCTTTTTCTTTTGAATAATCTTTTAAACGAGGTAGTTGGCATTTAGATCTCTCATTACTATTTTTCATTTCTAATTATATTTATAAATAAACTAAATTTTTATCAATTTAAACTTTTAATGGATTTAATTAAGACTTATAATAATTGACATAGACATAGACAAATAAAAACATTTATTTAATTATATTGAATCCATTAATTAGTAAACATGTTAATAATTAGATTAATAAATATATTAATTTAGACTTTAAAAAATATAAAAGAGAAAATTATATTCAAGGTATTTCATTAATCATCATACTCTTCCATTACTGCAATTATATTATTTTTTTATAAACTTTATTATTATTATTATTCAACAATATTTGTTCTTCTTTAAACTTATCTATTAAAATCATTATTATTATTTAAAGTATATATAATATTTGGATTAATTAAAGTTCTTTTTTTAGTTGTTTATAATAAGAAATTTCTATAATTTGGATGCAAATAAGGTTAATGATGAGAATCTAATTATATCAATTTATTTACTGATAAAGGATATTGTATTATATACTGTTAATTAAGTATTTGTTAATATGAACTCATCTAAATTCTCTAATCTAGATTGTTTTTCATAAACTTTAGGCATAAAAATTATTCTTGATTCTTAAGCATCTATAATATCTTTACAAAATAAATCTGTATATTAAATAAATTCTGATTGTCTAACTGTGCTAATCAAATTAATACCTTTTCAATTTAAGAAATATAAAAGTTAATAATGATTCTAATTTAATATGTAATGGCAAAGTTTGTCTTGCTAATATTGGCCAAATTTAAGCATCTTCCCCTATAGGAGCAGGACTTATTTTCTCAGCCACTCTCCCTAATGCCTCTAAAAATTCATTAAATGTCATTCTTAAAAAACGATCTTATGTTACTTCATCTGCTTAGGTTTACATTGAATAATTATAAATTACTGTCACTTATTTCTCAGACAATACATCATTTGTATATAATTTACAAAATTCTCTGAATTCTTTTATAGATATCCATTTCAATTTAAAATACCATTTCTTACTAGTTAAATCTGAAGCTAAATCATACAACTTTTTTAAAAAGGGTTATTTAAATTATAATATCAAATCTACTTCCTTTGTCCAAAATCTCTCTACTCTCCATTTTTAACTATTGTCTAGAATCTCATAATGTTATTCAAGTTCTTTCAGTAATCTATAGACTGCATCAGCAAAATTCTTACATTATCCTGAACGAATAAATTTATCATTAGCTAATCTAAATAGAACTTCCATAAATTAATATCTAATTATAGCTTTATCAGGATTATAAATAAATTTTGAATCAACATTATTTTTTATAGAAACTAAATCACTTTCTACATCTGATTATTTTAAGTTTTCACCATCAACAATAAAAGAAAGAATCTTATTAAATTAACCATACTAGATACAGAATACATCAAATTAAGGTGGTTAATATCCAAAACTAGAAAAATATTTATATATATCTTTTATCAATTGATATTTCTATCTAAAATATTCCTTCAATTTAATCTTCTCATAATCACTTTTTACAAATCTTTATATTTTTGAGCAATTCCAATCTTATTCAAATGCTTAATCTAAAATTTCTACTGAATCCCCAATCATACTCCTGAAAATAATAGAATCATCTTTTGACCAAATGGCAACATTTCCTTTCTTATTTTTTAATTTCCCCAAATATTTTGTCAATATATATTTTCTTTATAAAGTTCTTGGTTTCACTTTAATTAAAGGTTTATAGTTATTTTTATCATCAATTACATATTCTTACTTAGTATTTAAGACATTTACAAATTTTATTTTTTAAAAAGGAATTTAAGTATTATCAGCAAAGACATGCATTTTATGTTTTGGGTCTTTCCCTTATAAAATTAAATCATCAAGAGGACTTTAGATATATTCAATACTGGAATCATAGAAGTATCTCTCTCTGAGAGGATCAGAAAAAAAATATAAAATTTTAGTTTTAGGTGGACACATTTAATAAGTAGTGTAATACAACTTATTAAATTCTTCAATAATTTGATTTTAAGCTTCATTTTTTGTATTATTTTCAACATTATATGCTTCTTCAATAGCAGCCATTGTAATTTTTTTTTCAGTATCGGTTATCGATTTCAATTAATGAATAATTTCTCCAGTAGTAAGTTCTAATTATTTATTGCTCTTATTTTATTCCATCAATTATTATTTCATCTCAAAACTTGAAGTCAAAGGAATAGGCTTATAACTATAGTTAATTATAAAAATACTCAAGAAAATCCAAATGCAAAAATATTGGCACTTATTCACTATTCTAATCAGGAGTATAAGTAAATTAATGTTCCTTCCATCCTTAACAAATCCAACAACAATTAAATAATAATTCTTAAGAATTACATAAAGGGATATAATTAACTCCATCAATTTATATTTTTTTTTGTTAAACCTATTTAATTAAATTTTCTTGTTTCGAGAATTACAAAAATCCAAAAGCATCAATAAAAGCTGGACATTTATTTCCCTCTATGTGTATACCATATAATGTATTATTTTTAATTAATGCTTTTTACAATAAAATCATTTATTTCTCATTTATTTAATTGTATGAAATATCTAAATGACATAAAGCTAAATTAGGATTTTCAATTAATTAACACCATTAAAGTATGCAATTACTCTTTTCATTAAATCCTAAATGATTATAACTTAAATCTAGCACCTTTAGATTCTTATTCTAATTCAAAGCTTTAGCTATACCAATTCCTGATTGAGGTCCTAATTAATTCCAATTTAAAATTAAGACTTCAATTGATAAATTTGATACTAAAAAATTTTATAATTCTAAAGTTGCATTGTCAGTGATTTAATTTTGAGACAAGTTTAATTTTTTAAGAGTTCGAGCCTCTTATACTGCATTTAGTATAGTAATTGCTCCTTAATCCCCTAACAAGTTGCTAGCAATATTTAAGGCCTTCAAGCTGAATAAAGAATTAAGATTACCTTTTATGTTTTTTAAATAATTTGGCAATCAATAGAGCTCCCTATCTTCCTAATTCATTTTATGAAACATTTAAATCTTTTAATGAATCTGGAAATGAATCAATAAATATTAATAATGAATGTTCTCTTAAATGATTATAAGATAAGATGATAGATTTAACTTTTTTACACTTTTTGGATTTTAACAATTAGGATAACAATGGAAAATATTTAGAATTGACTTTTAAATCTTTAAAATTCATTTCTTTTTATTCAATTAAACAATTGGATAGATCAATTCTTTTGGGAAATAGATTTTAATTCATGCAATAAAAATATAAAGGATTGACAGAATCTCTTTTTCTAAAAGTTTAGATTAAATCTTTTAATTTATCTTAATTCTTAATGTAACCGAAATAAGATCTGTTGAGATCATTTGCTAAGGATGAAATAAGAATAGTTTACATATTTTCTTTTATATTTTGTCTATATCTTTCTCAATGTCTTTGAATCTCATTTCTGAGCTTTGATCAGAATCCTCATCATCTGAAGATTAATTTGAAGAATTATCAGAATCAGATCCAGATTCATCAAATAAATTAGTTTTATTTGAAGAGAAAGAATTATTACTACTATGATCATAGATTTATGCATTATTTTATCGATGAACAGTATTAGGATTGGTTTTCCATTTTTACAACAATAAATGTCTTTAACTTGGTTAATCAATCTTTTAAAAATCTTATGTTTTTTCTTTGCTAAATATCAAAAAGATGAAATACTAATTATCTCGAGCTAATCTTTCGGTTTAAGGTTGATCAATAAATTAAGGTTATTATATTTTGGACTAATGGTAAAAATAATGTTATTTTGTATCGGATATACTTCTATCAATGCGAAAAAAATGTTTTAATTTATCTTTCTTCATTTATGAATAGTTTTAATGGATTTTAGGTAAATGAATAGACTTTTTTGTATTATTTGTACACTGAATATCCATATTAGTAATTTAAAACAGGTCGAAAAAATTATAAAAATTATTTTTTTTAATAATAAAGAAATGAATACTCATTTTTAAGAGTATATTATTCTATATCAAATTATAAACAAGAAAATTCATTATCAAATGGTATTGTTTATTTTATTTTAAAATAAATATTTATAAATTCATATTAAAAAACCCTTTAAAAATGAACCATCTTGAAAGAATATTGCATGAATAAGGAAAAACAGTTAAAATATAAGGATAAGAGTTAGATGATATAAAACATAAATATTAAGAATTGTAAAATAAACTCTTTAAGGAAGAAGAAAAAAATAAAATATTATAATAAAATATTGACAAATTATCACTAATTGAAAATGAATTGAGAAGATAAATATAATTTGTTGAAGCACAAAGAGATAATTTATTAGATTAATTAAAATCTTTACATGAATATAATTTTTCGATGTTTAATTTATAGTAAAAATAAAATATACTATTATTTTTAGACATAATCAATCATTTAATAAAATGAGGACTGTTTAATAGTTAAAACTTACTTAAGATGAATTATAAAAATCATAGCAATAATTATTAAAATTATAAAGTGAAAATGCAGAATTGAGAGGCAAAGTTAAAGAATTAATGATAAAGAATTAATCTTTAAATGAATAAATATAAATATTACCATAAGAAATAGAAAAATTAAAATAAAAATATATAAAATTATTATCAGAAAGAGATACTTAAATATAATTACTTGATTATAAAATAGATGAATTAAGAAAATAAAAATAATAAGAAAAAGAAGAAAAATGTGAAAATATAGAATATGAAGAATCAGAAATAACAGAAGATAAAAATTCAGAATAAGATGTTATATAATAATCATTAATTGATAATATTGAAATAATAAAAACTATGAAAATATCTGATTAAGAAAAACAAAATACTATTCTACGTCTTAGTGAATAAGTTACAATGTTGTAAATTGAGAATTCAAAATAATAATTATTATTAACAAATTAATAGATTTCTTAATTATATCCTTAAGATATTTAATTATAAATTCGTCGAATTTAATAATTAAGAACTTATATACCTTAATTTACTACTAAAATTGCAATAATACAAATGAAATTACAAGAAATAAATCAATTACGTTAAGATAATTTGAATTTAAGAGAGGAAAATTAAAAATAAGATAAATAATTAAAAATATATTAATAAAAATATTAAAATAAAAAATAAAAATTAGAAAATCTGTAAAAATAATTTTCGAATGTTTTATAAGAGAATTGGAAATTAAAATAAAAATTAATAGATATATTAAAAAATGAATAATTAGTAGAATAATTTTTATAGAATTTAACTAATGAATTAAATTTTGATGAATATCCATTTGAAAGTTTAGATTAGCTACTGAAAAATTATAATCTAATTAGAAATAAATTAATGAATTAATCAGAATAAAAACATATTAGTCTTATTTGATTATAAAAATTATATATTTTTATTAAAGTGAAATATTTATTATCTAGAAAGATCATAAAATTATCATAATTATATACTTATTTATAAAAATAATATTAAACAACTCAAACAAAAATGAAAAATTTTCTTGAAAAACATATCAGCAATGATTACAGTATCCGTATGAATAATTTATCATAAAATCATGGTAATTAGAGAATATTAATTGAATAGAGTATTAATTAAACTAATACAAATGCTCTTCTCCTATAGTATTTGGAAATAGATTTGCATCACCTTCGCCATTCAGATCAGTTACTCCAATTTAAGGATAATTGTCTCCAGCAAATTAATCTCGCAGAGAAAGTGCATTTTCAAGAAACTCTGATAACTATGATTTTTCAGTTAAAGAAAAATCAAAAATATTAAATAAACCCATTACTTAATACTATAAAAAATAACAAGATTAATAAGATGAAGAAGAATGCAATATTGATTATTTTTTTGATAAAGAATAAATCATTATTGAAGAATAAGAACTTTTACATGCAAAACTTAGAATGATTCGAGATGATTTCAATTTTAAAATATAACAATTAGAAGATTGTAATTAATTATCTAAGTTTTAAGAGAATACCTTAGAGAAAGATAATCGATTTTATAAAATCTTTCAATTTCAATTAAAGAAGAGCAAGACAGATATAATGAACAATCAAAATAAAATAAAAGAAAAAATAAATAAAATGAAATACATGCAAGAACTGATTCCATTAATAAATAAGATTCAAAAAGTGATTCATAACCAATCCAACAAGAAATAATTAGAGCAGCTAGTTCAATGAAAGAATAGAGAACAGAATTTAATTATGAAAAAAGAGATTGTTTTGATATTAGACGTGAATCTCGTCATGAATCTATTAATGGTTATAGTTCTCATCATAGAAGAGAATCATCATATAAAACAGTTAAATTAAGAGAATCTAGAGTAAAAAGAGAAGAATCTCTTAAAGGTGATTCTGTTAAAGAAGAATAACCATTAAAGAGTGCATTAAAAAAGAAAGATTCAAATAGATAAACATATAATTGTTAAGATGATTCATAAGATGATTGGAAATTTATTAAAGAAGCTAAAAATAATTTAGAAAAATAAAAAACTTAATTAGATGATAAATAATCTCCAAATAAAGTTAGATTTGTTAATTAAGAGAAATCTTAAAAAAAATAATAAGATAAAGTGGTTAAGTCAAAATATTTAAATGATATTGACATTTTTTTAAAATGTAGATATTGAATTTTATATATATATATATTATTATGAAAACAATTAAATCATAATTTAAAATTGCTCTTTATTTATTTATATTTTGATATTAATATATAAAATATTAAAATCAATTAATAATTATTTTAGATATTAAAAAAGATATCTTTAAAAATATTATATTTATTAAACTAAATATTATATAATTAATTAATTAGATTTAGATGATAAAATAGAATAAATAAATGATAATTATAATATAAAATCAATTTTAGCTATTAACGCGATATAATGATTTTTTGAAAGCATTTGGCAATGGTTATTTTTAAATAAATATAAATCTATATTTATTAGAAGATATGTTTATTTTGTAGAATTTTTGTAATTTCTATTACTATTAGTAAGAATTAAGAACATTTAATATATTATTATGTGGGAAGTATATTTGAAATGTTTCCATTTTATCTAATTCAAAATTAAATGAATGGAATGATTATATATGTTCCAATTGATTAAATTAATGATTACTTTTTGTTTAAGAATTATTAGATGAATTCATTACTTATTAATGTATTTATTATTATTAATCACTAATTTAAAGATATTAATTAGTAATATGTCTTTTAGATTGATCCTATGATGAATTATATAAAGATTTTTTATATTATTTAGTTGTTGGACTATCACTATTATGTCGATTAGATTTTTAGATAGATTCTACTTTAATTAATTTTAAATACTTTTTTCCTCCATTATTAATGGTTATTCTGGATTAGTAACCCATAAAGAAATTCGTTTTTTAATATGTTAGGTAGTTTCATCATTTAGTAAAATATTTTAATGTTCACTTTCAAGAACACTAGAATTTTATCTATTTCCAGAATCTTAAGAAATACTTTATTCATCTTAATGTTGAATTTTATTTGGAGGATCATGATCTTCATGATTATTAAAGATTCTTTAAAATCTCAGATTTTTTCGATTAAATGAAGATCTTTCTTGATTAGAATTGAATAATTATTTTTTAATTAGAAATTCTGTATCAGGTTTATAAGTAATATAATGACAATTATTAATTAGATGATCTCCTTAACAAGCAGCACATTTAATCGATAAATCTTAATAATTAAATAAAATCTTATCTCTCATTTCACAATACTTTTAAAAGTCTATAGAATTTTCAGCTATGATATCAAGAAAGGTTTCTCTACTCATTCTATAAATGGAACTAAAAGTTGTACTTATAGCTTTTGTTTATCTCTTATAAGAAGTAAGAAATTCAAATTCTCCAAAACATTAACCTTTTGAACATTTCTATATAATTTTATTAGTTTTATTATCAATAAGATTAATTTCTCCTTTTTGGATTATATATATTGAATTTTCATCTATAGAATTTGATTAAAATATTATTTCTCTTGGAGTATATTATTGAATACTCATTCTGCAAGCAATTTGATGAATAGTGGATGTTTGAAAATTCTTAATAAAAAATTCAACACAATTAATTGCTCTAATTTAAACATCTTCCAATAATTCTTATTTTAAATTATAAGATAATTTCTCTATAATTGAATTAATTTCTTATTTATTTCCTTTCACTTATTATTCATAATAATATTTTAAATAGTTTCTAACTCTACTTTACAATTATAAAGAAACTTCATTTGAATTCATATATTGATTAATTAACATAAGATTTCTCTTATAAGATTATTTTTGTAAATCAATATTTGAAAATATAACTCCAATTGCATTTATTGAAAATGCAAATACTACACTTGCAAAAAATATCATAATTATTGTACACAAAACTTCATAAATATTTTATGGAGTGACATCACCATATCCAACAGTTACCATTGTAGCAGTTGCCCAATAAAATGAATAGCCATATTTATGAAATACTTCTGAATTTTATAAATTTTATTGTTGAATCCATGAATTTGTGAAGGAAGATTAACTCATGTTACCAACATAATACCAAATACAGGCCATAAAATGAGCAAAATAAAAGATTAAAATAATTAATTGAGACAGACTAACAAATTCAGTAAAATTTGATTAAATTGCAAACATTTCTCCATATTTATTAATAGTTTTTTTGAGTTTAATGAAATTTAAAGTAAATTAAATTAACACAATAATTTCAGGAAAGAAATATATTGTAATAGGATCACTTCCAATAACAAATGTTAATGTAATTAAATAGATAGCATCTTCATATAATTCATATATAATGTAGTGTTTTATAATCTTTAATCTATCATAAACTATTTATCCTTGATCTATCATTCCTCTATTCAATTTTATCAATAAATCAACACCAAATAAATAGATAAGCAAATTTTCAATTTAATTCATAGCAGAAGTTTTAGGTGGATCAAATGATATCTTAAATGGTACCCACCATAATAAGAACATTATTTAAATAAGTCTTAAAAATTGCCAAAACATATAAAATTTACCTGTTGGATTTATTATTGGAATTTTTTGATATTATTAAACATTGTCTATACTCTTTTGTAATTCCATATTTACCTAATCAAATCTAACTTCTTGTTATGAATTTTTTTGATGATGTTAATTTTTGTGTATGTATTACTCTTCTAAAAAATTAGTTAATTATTCATTTGGATGACGAGGATATATATGAGCATTTTGAAATAATTTATCCTTAAACTTTTTTAATTGATTCTTCTATTTAATTAATTAAATAAATTTGCTTCCTCTTGTATTTTGTATTCTATCTTATGGAAATTATGATGCTGTCTTATATAAATATACTAATTGATTTACATAATAATTTGATGATTTTTTTAGATTAGCTCTAGTTTATCTCATCTATTTATCATGTGCCATTTCATCATTTGATCTCTCATAAACAGGACTGAAATCCTAACTATCCAATTTATTCTTTTGAATATGATGAGCGTTCATTTAAATTAATTAAGGTTAGAATTTATCTGAATAACGTGAAGAACCTATACTAATAATCAATTGAACTTTAACTTATGTTGATCGATCTTGCTGATTCCTATTAATCCATATAATTTAATATTGAAAGCGAATTATATAAATATTTATATCAAAATTAAGGGATATATTAAATTACTTTAATTTATTGAGATTAGAAGGATTTATATTAAATTAAACTATATAAATTCATTTTTATGTTTTAAATACTAAAAAAATAAGAATTTCTTTATGTTAAATAATAAAAAATCAAATTAAATAACAAGAAATTAATTGAAAATGTATTTATTATTATTAAAAGTAAATGAGGAAGATCCTTTGTTTAAGGTTTGTTCAATAAGAATATTGAAAATATGATTAAATAAGAGAGATATTTTATATTAAGCAGAAACTGATAATGACAATATAATTATATAATTAATATTAAATATAAATTTCTATCCATCATTTTTTAATCATATTTTGAATATTCTTATTTAAAACCAACCTTAAACAAAGGATCTTCTTCATATTTAATTGTATTTTATTGATATTTATTATTATTAGTATAATAATGAATCATTAATAAACTAATAATAAATTTAACTGTTAATGAGATCTACCTATTCTCCTGTATAAAATTCATTATATATTAATAGATAAGATCATCCCCTTGTAAATTTGATATTCCAATAACAAAATGTACAGAAATACAATAAAGATTGGATTATCAAACATGGAGTGATGTCAAAAAAGGAATACGTGATAAAGTATAATCTAGAGTATAAGGATTTGAAAATCAAAAATTTATTTAGAAGAGTGATCTTCTGTATAATTTTAAGAACTCAGATTAAAAAATATCATCATAAGCATAAGCATTAAGATAATCAACATCATATGTTAAAAATCATTTAGAAAACAAATTTCCAAAATAAGAATCTCCAATAAAAATGGGTTTAACTCATGTAATCTATTCTCCAAGCTAAAAATAATCAAATCCAGTAGATGATATTAAACGAAGTAATATATATCCATCTTCTTTTGGATCCTTTACTGATAAGGATAATTATAAGAGTTATTCATCAAAAAAAGATTTAATGAGTTCTTTTAAATCCAGTTCTGATATCATTGACTTTTCTAGAAAGAGCAAACCAATTACTGATAGAGTATCTTTAACAGAAATAATTAAAATTTCTAATCATTTATCAGATTTATAATAAACAGATATATCATCCTTAAGTAATGGTTATCTTTCAGAATTAGTAGGATTATAATCAAATATAAACAAACTATTAAAAAATGCAAATAGCAAATTATACAAATGAATTATCTATATATAAATAAATATATTTTATTAAAAAATGACGTCTCAAATATTTAAGGATCTTTAACCTGATTAAGAAATAAGTTGCTTGATTGGTGATGTGGGAGGAACAAATGTTCGTCTCTAACTTGTCAAGATCTCTCTCAAGTTGACATACCAAAAAGCTCCTTAACTTAAACCATTTACATCCTATAATACTGATTTGTATCCTCAATTCTAAGACTACATTGTAGAATATTTAAAGGATGTATAAAAGGATAATCTTCCATAAATTGCTATTATAGGTAAGAATTAAATGTATATTTATTAGGTATTGCTGGGCCAATAAAAAATAATTCCACTTTGATGGCTAATACTAAATGGACTTAAGTAGATGGAAATGCTATTGGATAAGCACTCAATATTAAACCATTTCTCTTAATTAATGACTTTTAGGCAGTGGCATATGGAATATTGGGACTTTAAGAAACAGACTTAATCTAATTGAATCCAAAAAATCCAAATCCAAAAGAAAATTCAGTTAAAACAGTAATTGGTCCTGGAACTGGATTAGGTGTAGCAAGATTAATTCCCTCTTTAAAACAGAACAATGTTTGGGAATATAATATTTGGTAATGAAAATTAATTAATTTTAAGGCCTTGTGAAGGTGGACATGTAGGATATTCACCATCAAATGATTTAGAAATAGAATATCTTTAATTTTTGAGAAAGAGATTAGGTTTAGGTTAGATAGTAGCAGAAAAAGCTATGGCAGGTTAAGCTGTTCCATATATTTATACTTTTTTAAAGGAAAGACTTGGATTATAGTCTTAAATAGAGAATGATCTTGATAAAGTCTTATTTGAAGTAATTCTTTGTTTTTATAATTTTAGGATAAGAATGATTTTAAATAATTCCCATCAACATAAGTATTTTAATATGGTGTTGAGAAGAAAGATGAATTATGTTAGAAAGTTGTGGATTTCTTCTTAAGTAGTTATGGAACAGTAATTGGGGATCTAGTTTGCAATACAATGCCTTATGGAGGTATTTATTTGTTTGGTAATATTTCTATTGGAGTTGCTAATTACATCATTAATAATCCATAAGTCAATTTTTTAGTAATAATTTATATTATATATTTTTTAGTAAGACTATATTAAATATAGACCTCATTTAACTGAAATTTTTGATTAGATACCCATTTATGTGATTAAATAGGCTTCATTGGGATTAGAAGGTGCTTATTAGGCAGCATATAGATTGTTAGAGTATAATGATTATGAAAAAGAAATTTGATGAACAATCATTATTTATCATTCATAGAAACGTTTAAAATAAATTTAGTTCATTTACAGAATTAAAAATAATAAAAATATTAATGCCTAATAATTTATAATTAAATTATGCCATTTTCCAGTTGTATAATTAATCACTCTAGGCCAAAAAGGTTTCTCTAAATTTTGGAATCTTTTACATTTTGGGTGGATAAATTTTATTTTATTAAACTCTCCTCTTTATGTATAATAATCATATATATATGTAGGCATTAAAAATTAATGATTTAATAAAATATCTAAGAAGATCAAATTTATTAAATCATAGACTTTCAAAAATATTGTAATTTGCATTTTTATATGGATAAACCATACATAATTATATTTGCAAGTTCAATTTAATTTTTAGTTTTGATTGGTTTTATTTTTGTCTTTTTGCTGTCTTTGAATGAAATAAAGAAGACTAAGTTTGAGATAAAAATCATAAAAAAATGGTATGGAAAAGTAAAATATATGCTTTAATCAAACAGGTTTTTATTAACACATTTGACTTTTTTGCACTTTTTGGATTTTATCCTATGATGATAATATTTCTTTCGATTTTTCCTCTTATGATAGGAAAATAAGAGACCTAAATAAATGAAAGCATTTTTATTGTTTTGGCAATTCTCAGTATATTTTCTATCTTAATCATTTTATCATTTTCAATTATTTATAGTATCTTTTACTATAATGAATGGGTAAAGAAAAGAGATGTATTAACAAGAAAATCATGTTACTCAATAGGAATGATGATTTGTATAAGATATTTAAATATAATCTTTATAACATTCAGTTATAAAAAATGGAGCTAAGTATCATCAATAAATATTATTATAGGATTTTATCATTTATTTTAATTTGATCTCAAGTATTATATTAATTATGGTAATAATTCATAATTTAAACATTTAACATTATTAAAGACTATAAATTAGGTTTCTATATACATAATCAATCTTATTTTATTTTTGTATTTCTTTTGGTTAATATCTCCATATTTAATTAAATATCAAGCCAGTATTTGCTATAATCCTAATTTATGGTTTAGTATTTGTAATATTTAAAACATTTCTAAGAAAATTGTAAATGCATACACTTTTTAAAGAGACAAAAGATATAAAATAATTGGAACTTAAAGTTTAAGTATTTAAAGAATTTTAGAAAAATAATTAAATTGTAAATAAAGTTGGTGATTTAATTTATTTTGGTCATATATATCATCATTTAGCAAATAAATGCTAGAATAAATATACTGAATATGGTATGAGATGTTTTTGTACAATGAAAATAACATATGATTCTAAATTTTAAAAGGATATAAGAAAAACCATTTAAGCAATTAGAAATCATCGATCTAGTTTCACAAAACTTATGATTAAATCATTATTTGAAATACTTATATAGAATTAACCTAGAAATATAGATTTAAGGTTTATTTATGCTTAATTTCTATATTTTAAAATGAAGAATAGGATTTAAGCATATGAATAAATACAATAGATTTAAAAAAAATAATTGAATCTACATTTATAATTAAGGATTGCTTTAATGATTTCTATGATTTAAGATAATGTTAAAGATATAAATAGTCTTGCATATCATAGTGTCCTTGACTTTGAATATGTAGTAGAAATGGAAGAAACAATTTCTTAAATATATTAATTAGTATTAAAAGTGTTAAATCTAAATTCATTGTTTTGGAGAAAATTAAATAAGAATCCTTAAGTAGAATAGGCTCTTATTGATATAAATGAGGATATTAATGAAGAGATGACTAATTGTAATAAATTATGGAAAAATCTCATGAAACATGAAGTGAGAGTGAAGTAATAAGATGTTATAACTACATATTTAAATAAAAGACTTATATGGAAATTTGTTTATTTTTGGTATATAATAAATAAATTAATTATAGGTACAGATTATATATTCTAAATAAAAAAATTAGATTAACTTAAATTGAGTGTGTAAGTTCTGCTACATTACATTAAGAAATTATTAATGAAGATTCTGATAGTGATTATGAAATTAAAGCATATGATTAATTTAGTAATTCAAAGCCATTCAATCATATGAGCTTAATTATTCACTCATTACTTAATGGATAAATTATTAAATATAGTTAATCTTGTAAAGAAGTATTAGAATATGAAAATTTAAAATCCATATATTAATTAATACCTGAAGTCTTATAAAGAAATCATCAAAATGCTATTAAATAATTTTTATATTAAGGAAAAAGTAAGAATTTACATAAAAGTCGTAAGATATTTGTTAGACATTCATAAGGATATATAATATAAGCTAGAAAATATCTTAAATGGTAATTAGATAAATAGAATTAAATTAATTTTATAGCTATGATAAGACCAATAATAAGATTAGAATAAATTAATTTTATAATTTTAAATGGAGATTGGGAAGTAGATGCTCTTACTAGACCACTATTTTAAATATTATAATAAAAAACT